ATTTCCGAGAACTTATAACCTCCAAAAGTTCGAAAAAAAAAATCCAACACCTACCTCCTCTTCCTATCCTCCCAAGGTACGCACGTGTTTCGAACATCATAGGAATTTCCTTTCGTGCGTTCCAAGAGATTAAAAAGAAAATTATGAATGTTAAGTGTTTTCAATTACCTCCATACTGGCCATCATAGGTATTATAGAAAAATCGGCAATAGTCATGTTATCCCCTGCAACCCATTTTTGACCTTCCAAAAATTTATTCAAAAATTGCAGAGCTTCATTGAGCTTGGCACGATTTTCCTCATCTGGTGGACTACCGAAAAATAATGTAGGGGTCTGAAAAAAAGTCACAATATCCAATAAAGACTGTGGTGAGTGTTAGGCTCTAAAAGAAGTCACAATATTCACATGAATTAAAGGAAATAATTTTGTTATTTTGCTGTATTATTCACAGTTTGATTCAAAGTCATTTTGCAAACTGATTTACACCAGCCTTATATAACTGTCACTGAAAATCAAAATTTTGATGAAAGTCCGTTGAAATTATATTAAACTTTGAAATTATTTTTTAATTTCATGCGACCCCCAAACGTACTGCAAACTGAAATTTGATCAGTACTCTGGATTCCGCTTATTTCAACCAGCTTTCCAATGAGGGGTAGCAGAAGCCATAGGGTTGCATTTGAAAAAAAAAACTTGTTGGGGTTGATTCCAGCTACTCCTGAAGGGTTATAATCTTCATATTGCTCTCAAAATGTAGGTGAATACATTCAAACGTTGAAGTGTCTCGCGAATTTTCAGGAAAATCATTCACCTCCCCAGTAGCCAATTTATTCCAGTTAAAGTCTCCACGCTGTATACACTATCCCTTATAGCACACAACGTCCTAGGGACGTCCTTATTTGGTACAATTCACGTCCGAATGTCCCGAACCAAAAATAAGTGTCCTTGGGACGTCCCATCCCGTACATCTCAAGCAATGTCCGAGCAAGGTCGTCCACGGAATGTCCCAGCTGGTACATCATTTCAAATGTCCTAGAAATAGCATCCCTCAGACGTCCCACGTGGTACATATTGTAGAATGTCCATGCAAGGACGTCCTTGTCATGTCCCTGACGAGATATGACTTTGAACCTTCCTTTAGGGACATCCATCGGATGTCCCGAGTAGTACATATTCTGGCATGACTCCAGATCTTATAAAATGTACCTCATAAACAACCATGAAATGTCCCTGAAGGTTCATTCCTTCGAATATCCCTGCACAGACGCCCTTAATATTTCCAGGATCGTATAACAATCGAAATGTCCCTCAGGGACATTCTTCGATTGTCCCTAAGGGATATCCGTCGGATGTCCCAATTCGTACATGAACTGTACTCTTCCAATGTCCTAGAAATAACATCCTATGGACGTCCCAGTCGGTACTTTCAATTAGTTGTCCCTGCGAGGACGTCAACTTACACCTCGCTGACGAATGATTGCTCGTAGGCTATAAGTACTCCTCGTCAATGTCCTTCACGTTAGTCCATTGGACATCCTTGGGAAACTTTTTAGGGACCTTCTACGGACCATCAACTCAACTGGATGTCCTAATCAGTTATGCAAGATCTGGTCTTAGAGGGACCCATAAAAATTCAAATTCAAGAATAATTCGTACTTCCCTGGGACATCCTATGGACATCCAATTGATATCCCTCAGCGTTGCTGATAGGTTGTCCTATGGATGTCCTAAGGATGTCCTCTGTAGTGCTTGATGAGGAATACTGTAGGATTCAGGTATTCGATAGTTGTCCCAGGGACATCCCTCAAGGACGTCCCTAGTTGGTCCTCAAGTGGGACATTTGTGCGTCCCACAGACGTCCAATGGACGTCCACGGTACCAAATTCGAACGTCCTATGGACGTCCTGAATGTCCCGACGGGACGTCCTAAGGATATCCATGGGACATAAGTGTGTTATTAGGGATATAAATTTCTTCCTTACCAAGGAAAACTCTAGGATCCAGAATGATGAGAAAATACACAGAACTTTGTATTCAAATACCTACATAGAAAGTTATGAATCTTGCAAATAGATACGTAGCACTGAAAAACAACCTTTGATCGACCAAGGCTGCTTTTTTGGGGTTCGTAGGATACAGACTATCATCTTTGCCGTACTCATTGACCAAGTATTTCATTATGACGTGGCTGAAACACAAATTGTAGGAACATAACATATTTGAGAAATTAAAAATATGTAAATAAGGGGTGAAAAGTGCGGATATAAAATCAAATCACCTGGCATAATAATCGAAGACTTAGCTAATTACCTTGCCCAGATGAATTTTTTGATTTGAGATGACCGATAATAATATTAGAAAATGTAGAATTGCGATATACTCCCGTCATGGTATGATTCAAATTATTTAAATAATTATAAAATCGATTATTCCTCTCAGAATATCATGTATATGTATCATCATTCGAATCATCATCAACATAAAATTGTATCCTGAAATATTTCTACAATCGCTTCGGTTCTTACATATCGCCGACAACCACTTAACGAACATAATGGAATGACATCTGATGCCGGACCACTTCGTCCAAGTCAAGAAGTCAAGACTATATTTATCCCTTATGTTTCCAAAGTCACTCTAGTAGAATCTCTTGGAATAATACTAGAATAATCCATATGGAATCAATCCCAAATAATATCAGATTTTTCATGGAATATTGACTCGAATATTCCTGAAATATTCTCAGGTGAGGACATTTTAATAATCCGTGGGAATAATAAAGGAATGATCTTGACGATTTTAGTGCTTGAGGCAGTGTATTTCGGACCAAATTAAAAGGAGTAGGTTCTACTTTACCTGTCATATATTATGAAACCTCCATCGTTGAGAACAGGTACAGTGTGTAGTGGATTCATCTAAAAAAATCAACAATGGAACGTATACTGAACTAAGGTTTTCTCGGAGCAATAGTTATTTCATTTTCTTCCACTCACTTTGATAAATTCAGGGTTCATTTGTTCTTTGGCTAAAAGATTGATAATTTCGACAGTGTGTTTGATGCCGAGAGCTCGTATCAAAAGCAAGGCTGACCTTGATACTGGGCTTACATAAAAGTGGTAAAGAATTACTGTGTGGTTCGGCATTTTCGAATTGGAAACACTGCAAAGCATAAAGAAAATGGTCATTGTGACAAAGAATTCAATATGAATATAATAATAGCCAAAATATTGAGGAGGTGGTTCCTTTTTAAATTTAAGGGAAAAGAGTGCTCATAAACATTTGTCCTAGCTCACTTAGTTTTTGAAATATAGGATGTTGAAGTTGTATACATTTTTCCCGGATATATATCACATATACAGTGTGTCCACCTTAAGGACTTACCACCCCTGTAAAATTGTTATTATCTGACCGATTTCAAAAAACTTTTTTTTGTTGGATAGGTATTTGAAATGTCCACCAACAAGATAGTGATTTTACTCATGAACTGTAATCGTGGCCAACCGCGACCAACTTTATTGACCCATATTTGAGAAAGTACTATAAGGGATTTTTTTTCACAAAAAACAATGATGGATTCTGAATCACGATCACTTGAAAAACACCTTCACTGATTTTTATCATCATAAGACACAGAGTGTCCGAAAAAACGAATTGTTTTTTTTTTAATAGGTGCGATCAGAAAATGTAGTATTGTGGTATTTTTGAGAAGAATTGATGACACATTATTATTGAGGATCACTTTGAACATATCTGTACCGATTTTCATCATTCAAAAATACGATGTATATGAGAAAACAATTAAAAAGAAAAAGTAGGCAATACTTTTTCATCACCTCAAAAAATATATTAATTTGATTTTTCGAACTCCCGTGTTTAATAATGATGAAAATCGGTACGGGTATGTTCCAAGTGATTCTGATTCATCTTTTTATTTTGAGTGAAGAATTATCAGGATAAAAAATATTGCTTACCTATTCTTTTCAATTTTTTTCTCAGAAACATATTGTATATTCAAATGACGAAAATTGGTACAGGTATATTTGAAATAATCCTCAATGATAATTTGTGATTATTTCTCTCTAGAAAAACCACAGAACTACATTTGCTGATCACCTATTTGAAGAAAATGATGATTCGTTTTTTCGGACACCCTGTGTTTTATGATGATGAAAATCGGTACAGGTATATTTCAAGTGGTACTGATTCAGAATCCATCATCAAGTTTCGTAGAAAAAAATCCCTAATAGTACTTTCTGGAATATGGGTCGTTGAAATTTGTCGCAGTTGGCCACGATAACAGTCCAAGAATTAGATCACTCTCTCGTTGGATGGGCATTTCAAATACCTATCCAACAAAAAAAGGTTTTTTGAAATTGGTCGGATAATAACGATTTTACAGGGGTGGTAAGTCCTTAAGGTGGACACACTGTATATACACGGCTGATGGCTTTTGTTGTGCTATAGTTCCGAAAAATGAGTCAATAATACCGCGGTCTCCGAGAAAGAACTGCAAGTCCTTTCATCTTCCATTCGACATTCGGTTACGTATTTATTACTATACAACCACTAAATTTGCAATTTTTTGAAATCAAATCACAGAATTAGACTGACAGAAGTGACATCAGATATTTGATTACTTCAAAAGAATGATAAAGATGCCTACAACGCATCAGGTGTTAAAAACTTAAAATTTCACGTCGATAATTTTCAGATTTCAACATTTCTCATTATTGATTCGTCATTTCTTCTGTCACAGAAAAAAATAGTGTACTATACACGAGAAAAATATTAGATTTTAGCTCACGGTTTTTTGTCTCCCTCCGCTACGCGTCGGGAGACAACACAACCTGGAGCTAAAGTCTACTACTTTTTTCCCTTGTATAATAAATAACTATATTATATGTTAGAAGCATTTGATATTTGAGGAGGAACAATAACTTTTGATAGCAGTTTATATATCGAGTAAAGAATTAGTTTCACTCTTATAGGTAGGTACTCACCTGTTGTTGAGAGGGATGACACCCTCTGAGTCCATGCAATTCCCCAGGGTTACTAAATTGATACCTTTACTGCTTGCACTCTCGTCAGTCTTTCTTAAACTACGATAATTTCAACAAAGAATTTATCTACCCTTGTTGGGAAAGGTGGCGAATTGTCGATAGACACGTTATAAAATCTATGACCATAGAAACTGAAATTACAACAAGAATAAGGTAGGTATAACTATACATGAATTAATTAGGAATTTCAGTATGTACGGCAGCATATACAGGATGGCATTGAAATAAGTGCAAATATCTCAAGCCTTGAGTAAGTTGGACGTATACTATCGAGTAGTACCAAAGAAAAAATATAGGAATCAAAATAAAGTTTGAGGTGACACCTATTTTTCCGCCCAAAGTTCCACACTGCAGCAATTTGGACGTCACCTCTGCTAAAATTTTCGTGCGGAATAATGTACAATCATATGGATTTCAATCAGTTAAATTGTTTTTAAAGTGGCGTACTTGATTTTTTTCTCGTTTTTTGTTCAATTTTCGGGTTGAAATTTCTTGTTGATTAGAAGAATTAGGTAAAATCAGATATCATGGGAATATTTTTTAGACTGTATCATATCGATGTGTCAATTGTATGTACTTATTTCAAAAACACTTTATACGAAAAATCACCTATTTTTATAGCCTGTTGAAAAAAAACGGCATTACTTCTTTGTACTCTCTGTATAGCTGGATGTGTCAGTCAGTAATTTTTCAAATATAAGTTGGATCATAGATTCCTCACAAAAGTAATTTTGCATTATTTTTGTGCTACGAGTATGGATTTTTTAATAAAAGCAGATTTTCATATTAGTCTAGCACGTTTTTTCTTTCATTCACCTAGAGTGACCTAGACTATGAATCATATAGCAGAATATTAATAGATTGGAAAGAAATGAAAGTGCAATTATGTAGGTGAGAAAACAAATATTTATTTTCATTTAGCCAATGAATAAAATAAATGACAAGAAACATCATCACAGTCTATTTAAACAGTCTCTTAAAATTAAAGATCACAATACAAAAGAACAGAAATGTGTAAAAATTGATCATAAAATGTGGTATAATAAAATTTGATCAGATACAACGGATTGCATAAAAATATCGATTAATATCATATACAGAAAGATACTTAGGTAAAACTCACCACATACCTATATTGAATTCGTTAATGAATTATTTGAAATGTCAATGGTTCCCTCCTAGTCAATATAAAAGTCATATTAAAACATCAACAAAGTGTTAAAAACATCAGGGGTATTCCCGATGTCTCGCATTTCCCTTCATATATTAAAAATTACATTTCTCTTGTCATACATCATTGTATCAAGAAAAAATCTCCAACAGAAAAAAAAACATGTGATGCCAATCGAAAAAAAAATTGACAATCGCTGACGCAATGGTTGAAAATCTGATGAATAATTACAGTTGCTTTTTTGTTTTTACAATCGGATATAATCTCTGGTTGGTGCTATGGTTTTGGGAATAGAATTTGACTCTATGGAAACGCAAAATGAAAATAATAAAGGATAAATTGCAGATGCTCATATTTTTTACTTGCGTCTGCGGAGTCTGCGTCATAAAATGGAATAGTGGGAAGGGGGGACTTCGCGTAATCCCGTGTCAGTTATATCAATGTTCCCCGATTGTGCTAATTTTCTTTAACTTGACGATCTTGAGCTGATTCCTCCTTCATAAAAAAGGACACTACTTTTTTCAAGCCATCTAACCTTACTCGGCCCAGATGAACCTTCTTCCTAAAAAGACAGTACTTTTTAGTACTATCCCTCCTGCATAAAAAAGGACACTTTTTTAAATCATCTAACCTTAATCGGCCTAAATGAACCTTCTTCCTAAAAATTATATTTTTCGGAAAATCATTTGAGAAAACAGAATTAAAAAAAGCCGACCGTTGCAGGCATTGAACCCGGGTCGCTGACGTGAGATTCATACGCACAGTCAACTACGCCACGAGTCGTAGTAACTGTTGTAGTATGAAGAGAGAATTTAGTGTGATTAAATTTGTTATCTCCTGTCTCTATAGGCGCTAGTATTCAAACGAAGAAGCGATAACTAGCAACGCTGCACTCCCCCCACCATTTTAAGATTTATGGCAAGTATACTCCCCAGACGCTACTATATTTTTGTGACGAATGTCAAACACTCAAACAGAGACCGACAACAGAAACACCTCAATACGAGACATGAAAACTTCCATTGTGTACATATTTCAATGACTTACAGCTTACCAGTTCTAAAATCGATATAATATCAAGCCCAAAAAGGTCAATAAAACCAAGATATCTCAGTGATCTATAAACACCAAAATGAAAGAGCATTAAAATTAGTTGAGACACCTGAGCAGTATTTATAAACGTCAGTACTGGTTTTCCTTCTGTGGTTTGCCATCCTGTTAGAACGTATGTCAATATACTCGATGTAGATTTTATTAGAGCTGGATTCTATGTTATCCTTTTGACAAAAAAGTTGAAAGAAATCGTCGATAGCTCAGTCATTTTTCAATTTAGGATAAAAGTTTACAGGACTGTTCTTGTTCAGAATCGACTATCCCATCGATTGAGAATATAGTATTCTGGGTGTACCCTTTGAAAAAAATTTTACATTTTGACATAACTCGTGAACATGCGATGTTGATTTCCTTCCTATTTCATCATCATAATCAACGGAAAAAGTACTTCTCGTTTGTCTATTTAACCGACGTTGTAGCTCCAATAATAACCAAGTTAGAAATAGTGCCGACTTAATTGGAAAACCCTGTATAATCATGGGTTAAACTGGGAACTAGCATCGTCCTTTCATTTTTATGTCTCTATAGATCAGTGAGAGGTTCGCATAACAATAATGGGAAAGTTTCCTATATTGACGTTCTTACCCCACTGTGAAGTTTGTAAAAAGTTAATATACCGGGTGACAAAGGAGACATGTAGCAGCCTGTAGTTTTTTTATTTGAAGAGATAAAATCTTGAAATTCACAGAGGGTATAATATAATGAATGGTAGCGCACTTAACGAACTTAACAACAATTTTTTCCAGCCACCTGTTCGACCGGAAGTGACCCTAACATTTTTTTCTTAAATGTCACTCTGTACATTTCTTCAGTCTATCTTTTTTGCCTTGAAATTCTCTATCCAACCATGTATCACAAAGTGGCATTTATTTCTCAATTCGCTGTTGAATTGCTTTTTATTCAAAAAGAATAAGTTGGCTGTGACATGAATTCGATGATATATCGACACTTGGTAGGCTTTGAAATTCAAATATCATTAGTAAACCGATATTATTCAAAATTTTTCGATATTCTAATCAATGTCTGCAGGTTGACAATAGCTTGTTTGAGTCAAGATGAAAACCTTCGAAAATAACTCATGATATTGAGGAATCTAAGATAGGAACATATTTTTTCGAATTCAGCTACTCGTACAGAAACTATCTGTCTTTTATTTTCGTCATGTACCTATCACATGATCTTCCCATTTGGAATAATAAAACTAAAATTGTTCCTCTTATACCATGATCCACAGGGCTATCAGTCTATTTTTTCATAATTATTTCACTTAGTAGGCGGTGTACCGACACAAAATGTTTTATGTGTTTGACAGTTAATCGATTGCATCAATAATTTTTCTTCTTCATTTGTGTGTTGATTTAAATTGCATATTATCAATAGAGACGGAAAATGTATTCAAGAAACGAACCTAACCTGAGATATGTTACCAAATCTAGTAAAGTAACCTAAGATATGTTACCAGATCTAGTAACCTAACTCAAGATATGTTACCAGATCTAGTAACCTAACCTAAGATATGTTACCAGATCTAGTAACCTAACCTAAGATATGTTACCAGATCTAGTAACCTAACCTAAGATATGTTACCAGATCTAGTAACCCAACCTAAGATATGTTACCAGATCTAGTAACCTAACCTAAGATATGTTACCAGATCTAGTAACCCAACCTAAGATATGTTACCAGATCTAGTAACCCAACCTAAGATATGTTACCAGATCTAGTAACCCAACCTAAGATATGTTACCAGATCTAGTAACCCAACCTAAGATATGTTACCAGATCTAGTAACCCAACCTAAGATATGTTACCAGATCTAGTAACCTAACCTAAGATATGTTACCAGATCTAGTAACCTAACCTAAGATATGTTACTAGATCTAGTAACCCAACCTAAGATATGTTACCAGATCTAGTAACCCAACCTAAGATATGTTACCAGATCTAGTAACCCAACCTAAGATATGTTACCAGATCTAGTAACCCAACCTAAGATATGTTACCAGATCTAGTAACCCAACCTAAGATATGTTACCAGATCTAGTAACCTAACCTAAGATATGTTACCAGATCTAGTAACCTAACCTAAGATATGTTACTAGATCTAGTAACCCAACCTAAGATATGTTACCAGATCTAGTAACCCAACCTAAGATATGTTACCAGATCTAGTAACCCAACCTAAGATATGTTACCAGATCTAGTAACCCAACCTAAGATATGTTACCAGATCTAGTAACCTAACCTAAGATATGTTACCAGATCTAGTAACCTAACCTAAGATATGTTACCAGATCTAGTAACCTAACCTAAGATATGTTACCAGATCTAGTAAACCAACCTAAATAAATGTATTCAAGAAACGAAAAAGTCGATATGTTGTTAATATGCAATTTCAATCAACACACAAATGAAGAAGAAAAATTATTGATGCAATCGATTAACTGTCAAACACACCAAACATTTTGTGTAGGTGCACCGCCAACTAAGTGAAATAATCATGAAAAAATAGACTGATAGCCCTGTGGATCATCGTATAAGAGGAACAATTTTAGTTTTATTATTCCAAATGGGAAGATCATGTGATAGGTACATGGCGAAAATAAAAGACAGATAGTTTCTGTACGAGTAGCTGAATTCGAAAAAATATGTTCCTATCTTAGATTCCTCAATATCATGAGTTATTTTCGAAGGTTTTCATCTTGACTCAAACAAGATATTGACAACCTGCAGACATTGATTAGAATATCGAAAAATTTTGAATAATATCGGTTTACTAATGATATTTGAATTTCAAAGCCCACCAAGTGTCGATATATCATGGAATTCATGTCACAGCCAACTTATTCTTTTTGAATAAAAAGCAATTCAACAGCGAATCAAGAAATAAATGCCACTTTGTGATACATGGTTGGATAGAGAATTTCAAGTCAAAAAAGATAGACTGAAGAAATGTACAGAGTGACATTTAAAAAAAAAATGTTGGGGTCACTTCCGGTCGAACAGGTGGCTGAAAAAAATTGTCGTTAAGTTCGTTAAGTGCGCTACCATTCATTATTTTTTTTCGTAAGATCAAATTTCACTTCATAAAAAAATAAATAAAAGAGGAACCTGGCTCCTTCACCATTCCTATGACGTACTTTCTGAAAATCCATATTCACACAGAGTTAAAATACGATTAGCAGTACAACGTTGCCAACATCATCAATATGTATAATAACTATATCAAAACAGAAATGGGATATAATAGGTTCTTCAATCATATACTTTGTCAAGTATTATGAATAATTCCCATAAATCTCTCATTGGCTGAATGAAGTTGACTACTAATAAAGATTAATTATGACATTTTGCGATAGTATCTATAATTTTTCACTATCGTTATATTCACGATATATTATTCATAACTTGTCAGTCATTTTTTGCTAATGACTTCGTTCCTTAATAAAACTGATGATAACGGATCTGTTTTCTAGGAAAGTTGTAGACTGACAGGCACAACCAGAGGAAGGAGCCATGGGTGTCGGCTTCATTCTGCTCTGACCAATGACAGTGAATAAGGAAGAATAGTATCATTAAATGTAGCCGATAGTAATTCATTGATTCAATGATATTTCCGTTTAGGATCGAGCTCTATTCGAGATATTTCAATGCATAAATAACAGAACCAAAACCTGTCGGAATGAAGCCGACTACCCTCTGCATTCCTGCTCCGAGTACATTTGTGGTTAGCTATTCGCTAGCTATATTCTTCACCATCAGCTATTTTCAGACTAGATTCAGAATGTACGTCACAGATTGCCACCCCGAGAATTAGAAATTGCCTTAATTTCAAAAAGAAAAACGACTTAGACTCTATCGGTCGCTATTCTGTACAGCATGGACGTAGAACTGGAAAGTTCCGAACTTATTTCATGAAAATTCATCGGAAGGAAACTTCCCCATTAGGCAGCATTCCAATGCTCCGCCCGCCACAACAACACGAACATATTGTTCGCCCTGCCCCCCACTGCGCAACTCCCCCCCGCCATCGGGCTCACCAGCGGCGTCCCTGCCACCTGTTGCGGCACGTCTGCGTACCTCGCCAAAAGGTTCCTGGAACAAATTCAGATTGTCTATTAACTTCATTTTGGAAGGAGTTTAGGATCTCTCGATATCGCCTACTTTGTGAAAGTTGCAAAGCGTGGAATAATCTCGCTAAATTTCCGGAGTTTCCAACCAAACTTACAGGCATTATGACAGATTCATTTGACTTTACATTTCCACTTTCATAATGTGATAACTTTGGATTGGATCAACTGATTTTAGATTTTTTTTGGGATTCGGATTGCTCAGTCAATTGGGCATAACAAAATTCTCTTACGTTTCTCCAACTTTTCGGAATCATGACCTACAGGATGATATCTGCAAGTGTGATAGATTTTAGAAAAGTTTGAGGTCACCCCGTTAGTAGGATACTTTTTTTTAACAAATTCTGACTACAAAAACATGAAGCCTGATGTGTTTTCTCGAAATGGTTTCGGATTCATCAAGGTCCATACAGGATGTTTTGAGATATGCAATTTTGAACAACACATGGCTTTTCGAATTGAAACTAAGAAATTATCATTTCTCGCAAAAGTCTTATTCCTCTGTCGTCCACCTCCGTGACGATAATTATGAGGATCTCCTGTTTGATCGTGACGACGGATTGCCCTGTATATTGAAGCTCTTGCTGTGTAGAAATACTGTCCAATGTGTGTCCAACATTCAATCTACGATCTCTCATTCTGGGAACCATTTGTAATTGTTCATTAGTTAGTCGTGGCATATTTTATTATAATAATCAAAAGTATGACAACATCTGGTTATTTCCCAGACAACATGAGACTATACCGAGGGGTTAACCAAAAAATTTGAGTTATTCAAACGATTCAAAAAGCCATATGTTGTTCAAAATTGCATATCTCAAAACATCCTGTATGAATCTTGGTGAATCCGAAACCATTTCGAGAAAAGACACCAGACTTCATGTTTTTGCAGACAGAAAAAAATACGAAAAATTAACCTACTAACGGGGCGATCTCAAACTTTTCTAAAATTATCACACAAATGTGGAGCAGTTGAGTTGAAAATAGTGATTTATTTTGTCTATTTATTTTGCGGAAAAGACATCTAATACTATGAACCTCTGTGGAAAAGCTGCCAAATCGATAATGCGAGAGGAATTTTCAGATGAAACGTTGAATACTCGGCAGAAATAGCGTATGATGAAAAAAAAACAATCTTCCAAACATGATAATACACCCATAACAACCTAATTGTCAGAAAATACACTACTAATTATAAATTCATTAGTTATAGTTAGGTACATAAAAAACTAACAAATTTGAATTATTCATTGTAAGAAATGCCATTTTTCGGTCTTGGGGTTAGGATTGGTTTTCCGGCAGTTGTGTGATCAGCTTTCGGTGTTTCAGTAACTCATTAAATATTATAAATCTGATGCAGACTATTCTCTGAACAAATACGTTTCGGTAGTTTCAAAGTCTGTGAAGAAATGTTAGTTACAAATATCCTAACCTGATATTTCACAGGAACGTAGACATTTGGTCCAGTAGCGGTATCATTTGATGGCTTGCTCTTGTTGTTGAAAAACGTGTTTAAAGTATTGAAAATTTCAAGTAACATCATTAAGACGTTACAAAATGACTCACACACACGGGTGAACTAATTTATCAATGCACATACACAAGACATCTCTGAAGAATATCATTTCTCCGGCAAAGATTCCACAGAGTTATTATCCCCACCATTCACGATTTCATTCATTTGACCGCGTTTGGCTATCAAAGTGTTGGCGTATACTTTTTAACGATTTCCAAATGAATCACTGTGTATATCTATTGTTAGCGACGATGTTCAAATCACCTCGTAATTGAGAAGAACGCCTAAGCCTAAGGAATGCCTTATCATAAGCGACGAATCATCGGTATTCGTAATCATCGTCGTGTGATCGAAAGTTGAGCAAATTTAGTCATTCGCATCGTAGCATCTGAACGAATCACATGTCGATGTTGTATTTTTATATACGGTCATCTTCGTACAAGCAGTCCTGAGTGAATAAAAATGTGTTTGAGTGTTGAAATTGAGTCTATCTACGATGCCTCCATTCAGAATTTTATACTATTGTTATTCAGTCTGAGGTCGATGTCATCAATCAAACTTTTCTGAGCTCAAGTCAATGATACGCAAGGATCAGTTATGAGACCAATTCAATATTTTCGACTTATATTAATCAAATATCAACCCTGGAAGGAAATCTGAAATTATTTGCAGATTATACAACATCGATTCAAGTATCGAAAGATTTAAATGAAATAGAACGTGATATTAATCTTGTTGTTGACTCTTCTCACCTGTAACCCTTGCCGATGGTGGCAATGAGGGCAGATTTGTCGTTGGATAAAGGTACGATGGCTCGCACCTCCTCTTCGTAGGGACGGAACACTGTGATTGGTCGAAGGGTGAAACGTTCGGCGACGATGACGCAGCCCCACGTGGTGCCGATATACAGCTCGTCGTTGAGGGACGCGAGGCTAGTCACCTGATGATGTGGAGAAAGAGAAAGATATAGGTCTCAGTTATATCGAAGACTGGAACCTATGGCATGATTCATAAATAAACGTGACTTGAGACATCTTGAGAGTTGCTTATAGAACAAATAACACGATGGGGAGGTTAATTCAGTGGGCCACACAATACGTCTAATGGATAACTTGGAATTCATGGGAACTCAGAGGCATTGTGAGAAATATTTTAGCTTCATATCTTGAAAATTGGAGAATCAGTACCAAATCTACTAATTCTGAGTCATAAACTGTCAATGAATAAGGGTGTTCCACAAGGACCTGTTTTAGGACCAATACTGTATCTGATTTATATTCGAAATATCAGGAAAGTTGGTTTAGCGAGTAATTATACCATATATGCAGACGATACAGTGCTTTTATATGAAAACAAAAATCTTCTGATTTTCAGTCACAGTCATTAATATCAAATTAGATCTTATAGGCTTCTTCGCCTAACTGATGAAACCCGGAAGTTCGAAAGCTCACACATTGCGTCCTAAATTATCATTGGGTTAAGGTGAAACCCGAATCCCAGTTTACTGCTTCGGGTTCATATGACAAAAGCAAAAGAACTTTTGGGATTTCGCAAATCTCCACGAATTTCCTGGCGCGATTGACCCTTTTGTTCAAAAGCAAAAGTCTGAGAATCCAAAGAAGCAAAAGTATTCTTTGGTTCGAAAACCTGTCAAGTTTGTGGCTTGTTTCGACTTCGGTTCGTCTTCTTCAGTCAGGGAAAGTACCCTGAGACCAGTTGGATTTTTTTCGTTTTAGAAGTAAACCTACAGAATAGTTTTGAGCAAAGACAAAAGTCAAAAGTGCATAGCACAAAAGACAAAAGTCGCTCGAAATCGTAGAACTCCGCAGATGCAGATTGTGTCTTTATTAATTTAATCTAGTTGGTTCAAGAAGTAGTTCTCAAACGCAAACTAACCCATCGTCATCATCATCATCATCATCATCGTCATCATCATCATCATCATCATCACTATGATCCAAAGTGTCGAATCATCGACTCACCTGGCAATTCGTCGGACTCAGATGCTCCTCGATCGCTATCGACTTCAGACTCTCCGAGCAGGGCACCAGCTTGCTGCAGTCCAGCTTGTTCACGATGCCCTTCGTCCTCGCGTCCCATTGGTAGACGACACAGCCGGGCCGCACGTACGACCACACGTTCTTCTCCACCGCTATGATGCTGGTGACGTCCACTTTCTCGATGAGCGGTCGATAGTGGTTGAGCACCTCGTGACCCACCACCACGTGATCTTTGATCACGTACACCGAGATCTGGCCAGAAGATTCGCCGCACCAGAGTTCGCAGGAACTTTGAACAGATCGAATACATCGACTTAAACTTCTAAATAAACCACTATAAATGTTATCATAGCAACTCAAACATCTCATCCAATTCATTTCCCTGAAAAAGCTCCTGTTCCTTGCACACGAACTCCCAGACTGTCATTCATAACGTCATAAGTAAGAGTGAGAGAATGAATGCACTAAGGAAGTATAGAAGGTTGTTTTTCCAATGGGCCTCGGAAATAATATTCAATTCATTCAACTCATGAAATAGTCTTGAATCATGTCTAGAAATACCTCAAGAGTGTCTCCGCTCCGTTCTGTTCGTAAAAGTGCCACCAGTAATCTTAGAACATAAGAGAGGCAACGTAAAACTGTCAGGCGGAAGTCAGACCCCAAAAATTTTAATAAAACGATCAGAACGCTGAGACAAAACTGGCACAATATCAAAATATCTGTAAGGAACAGGAAAGCTGAGAACAAAAATAAAAAGACTAATGAACAATCATTTGCTGAAAAAATAAAATTTGAAATCGCAGAATGATGGCTTGTGTGCACACAGACCAACAAACTACATCAGAGTATTTCTAGATTCAGGAAAAAAGGTTGGGTTGTAGGAGAAATCACGTACGACCACACGTTCTTCTCCACCGCTATGATGCTGGTCACGTCCACTTTCTCGATGAGCGGTCGATAGTGGTTGAGCACCTCGTGACCCACCACCACGTGATCCTTGATCACGTACACCGAGATCTGGCCAGATGATTCGCCGCACCAGAGTTCACAGGAACTTTGAACAGATCGAATACATCGACTTGAACTTCTAAATAAACCACTATAAATGTTATCATAGCAACTCAAAGATCTCATCCAATTTATTTCCCTGAAAAAGCTCCCGTTCAATGTGCAGGAACTCCCAAACTGTCAATCATAACGTCATAAGTAAGAGTGAGTATGTAATGAACGCGGCGACTCGACCAAATTCATTATTAGGAGAATGAATGCACTTAGGAAGTAGAAGGTCGTTTTTCAAATTCATTTAACTCATGAAATTGTCTTGGATCATGTCTAGAAATACTTCCAGAGTATCTCCGTTCTGTTCGGAAAAGTGCCACCAGTGATCTTAGAACAAAAAGAGAGGCAACGTCAAACTGTCAGGCGAAAGTCAGACCCCATCATTAAATTATATGAAACGGTCAGAACGCTGAAACAAAGCTGGCACAATGGCAAAATATCTGTAAGGAACAGGAAAGCTGAAAACAAAAAAAGACTAATAAACAATCATTAGCTGAAGAATAAAATTTGAAATCGCAGGATGATGGCTTGTGCACACACAGACCAACAAACTACATCAGAGTTTTTTCTAGATTCAGGAAAAAAGGTTCGATTGTAGGATGAATCACGTACGACCACACGTTCCTGTCCACCGCTATGAAGTTGGTAATTCGACTTTCTCGATGAGCGGTCGATAGTCGTTGAGCACCTCGTGGCCCACAACCACGTGATCTTTGATCACGTACACCGAGATCTGGCCAGCAGATTCGCCGCACCAGAGTTCACAGGAACTTTGAACAGACCGAGAAATAATGCAATTAAGAAGTTGAAGGTCGTTTTTTTCCATTTTTTTTTTATGTTCTGGTTCCCACGAAGAGGAATATCCTGTAATGTTCAGAGAACATCGTGAGAACCAAGGGAAATAAGGAAGGAATTGGAGTTCTTCTCAAATTTCTGGAGGTTATATGCCTCGGGGAACACCTCCCATGGCAATGTGTTCCAGAGCCTCGCTGTTCGTTGGATGAACGATTCTTTGGAAAGAGATGTTCTGCAAGTCTCCAAGGTGACCACGAAGGGGTGCGAGGCGTCAACTCGACGGATTAATCTCGCGGGGACTGCCAAGGGAGGAACAATTGCTGATATTTCAGAAGAGCATCGTCCATGAAAATATCTATAAAATAGAGCCAGATCGTCAACTTTTCTACGGTGTTCCAGAGAAGTGAGTGAGTTTGTGATCGAGGCATCACCCACGAGACGCATTGCCCTTTTTTGGCAGAATCCAACAGTTTCAGGGTATGTTTGGGCCTCGGAGGAAGTATTCAATTCATTGAACTCATGAGACGGTCTTGAACCAGGTCTCGAATCACCTCCAAAGTGTCTTCTTTCTGTTCGTGAAAGGGCCACCAGTGATTTTCGAACAAAAATAGTGGCAACATCAAATGTCAAGCGGAAGTCAGGAACTATCATTAGATTATAACAAGACGGCCAAAAAGCTGAAACATAGCTGGCACATTGTCTGTTAGGAACAGGAAAGCTTAGAGAAGAAAAAAGAGAATAATGAACGATAACCTCAAAATGTTATCAGAAAAATAAAATATGAGATCGCAAAATAATGGTTCGTGTACATACACACTAATGAAAGTACATTATATACAGGGATTTTGGTTTTGATCAAAATTTCTACTCATCGAGAGCTATAGTCGCTCATGGAAAGCATATAAAACGAGGAGTATCTCGGAGGACGAAGTGACGTTGCCACAGTTACAGGAAAATGGTGAGATAGCTAATAAAGTTTAGTAGTGGCTAGAAAGAAACAAACATTACTGACTCATATATTATTATTATGAGACACATCAGAGTCATTATTTTCTTTCCTATGAATGAAGGTTTACAGCTATCAGTCATTTTCTTATTAAATATTCTTTTTATGCATCTCTCTTGTGATATAAAGAATTGAAGATTTGAGTTGCTGTACTACTAGAACCTTCAAATAATATACCATACCCGATACGTGATTGTACATAAGCATTATAGGACAATTATTATTATTATTATTATTTATATGTGTTCATGTATCCCTATCATAAACAGATATGGTTCTTGGGGTAATAAAAAAAATCAATCAATATCGTGCGTACCTAGGGAGAATAGAGAGAGAAGGTATTGTCACGATCCTGGTCTTCCTGATGGGATAAGGCCACTGGATCATCTTTGAGGGTAGCTCAGATAGGGTAGATCATATCAACTCAGACACTAATAGTTTAAGAGGTATGAGAAGTAGTAAAAACCATGTTAAAACCACAAATACATTTATTACATCATTGATATAAAAGAGGAATCATCCAAATGCGATACAAAACAATTAAGTGGTACTTACAATGTAAATAGGGCCATTTCGGAGAAGGTTGTCTGGTAGGATGCACAAAGACCTAACTAACTCGTTAACGCGACGACCGACTGTGCGAACCCCTAGATTCCACGACCGACGGCAACTACCCGCTAATCAAGTATCCACTATCAGTTATCAACTATCAACTATCTCTTCAATAATCATAATCTGTATTTATCTGAATTCTCAAGAACTATTATTGTTTAGGTTATTCTCGGTACGTTACTAATGGAGGTTACTCAGTCGTACAGGTTGTTAACGAGTCAATGTCAAAACGTGTTCAAAATGTTTATAAACTTTTCTGTTCAATGAGAAAAGCACGATTTATAATTTTATAGAAATATTGAATTATTAATGACTTTGATTATGATTTTGGAAAAATTACTTAATTGTGACAGTATGAAATGTTTTTTTTCAACTTACTCGTCTTCTTGTCTAAACACCGCGCACATACAATTGACGATGGACGAGGACCCTAGCTCGGTCATCACGAAACTACCCTCGGCGGCGGTGGGGGTGAGAGGCTTCGCCTCCGAGTTGACCAAGAAGAGGCGGCCGTTCGACAGCGAGCAAGCCACCCGCCTCAACTGAGGCAGATGCAGCATGGCCTCCACTTGGGTGTTCGCCTCGGTGTCCAGCGTGTAGAAGAACAGTTTTCGGCCGTCATTTGCACTACAATAATAAATAACTATCATCGACATATCTAATCCAAACCCTAGGGAAATACTCGAATTATTTTTCTTTTGCATTCGCTTCAAATCGATTCATGAACAGTTCAGCCAGAAAAGGTGATGAACAATTTCCCATAGCTGTACCTTCATGTTGTTCAAAAAATTCTTGTTTATATATTTCAAAATCAAATAGCTGCTTCCCCTCTATCAAATTCACTTATGAATGCGAAAATTATGGCAAATTACCTTTCTTAGATGTACTTGCGATCAAAAATAGCGAACATGACTTAGAATTTGATATTTTTAGAAAAAAGTGTTGTTTATAAAGTGGCTGGCGTCAATGGCTATGATATCGAAATAGTAGATAAATTAATACGTAGACAGTGGATAAAAAGAACTCTAGAAGAATCCCAATCCCGTTCAATCCAGAGTATACGAAGGGACTTGATAAGGTTTTCAAAGACTTAGGTTTTGAAAGCGTTTATAAGTCTGGCTCAAAATTATGCAATTTATTAGGCAATCCGGAAGATAAAGTGGACACACTTAAAAAGTCGGGAATATACGAAATAAGTTGTAATGATTGTAATAAAACATATATAAGCTAAACCAGGCGACCCATAAAAACAAGATTTGAAAATCACATAGCACATTAAAAATATGGTAGGTTAGATAAATCGTGTGTAGCCGAACATATGTTCAATCACAATCATAACACACATATTACTAACCTCAAATTAGTTGAGCAAGTTGATAATATTAGAAAATCAGACGCATATGAAAGCTTAGAGGTATTCAAGTATAGTAATAGAGTAATGATAATGGACCTATACCACATAGCCCTCTGTATAGTCTAGTAATATAAAAATTAAGATAAACATGTCAACTCAACCATGACAAACATTAACTTAACGGTTGGGTGAACATATACCTTTTATATAAGCAGCACACTAGAATAGGATAATCCTTCTGAAGATGCTAACATAGTTAGCGAAACACGTGTCGAGGCGTTTAAAAAATCGGTTTGGTTGGTGGTGAAACAATAAAGTGAATGATATTTTCGTTCAGGCTCGAGCTCTATTCGAGATATTTCAATGCATAAATAACAAAAGCATAAACTGTCAGAATGAAGCCAACTACCTTCTGCTTTCCTGCTTCGAGTGCATTTGTGGTTATGTATGTTTTTGTTTACCAGTTTTACGTCTTTTTCAATCGTTAGCTATTCGCTAGCTATATTCTTCACCATCAGCAATTTTCAGACTAGATTCAGAATGTAAGTCATAGTTTGCTGCCCCGAAAATTAGAAATTGCTTCAAGTTGAAAATGAAAACGACTTGGACCTTATCGGTCGCCATTCTGTACAGGGTGGACATAAAACTGGAGAGTTCCGAACTTATTTCATGAAAATGCATCTGAAGGAAACTTCCCCATTAAAAAACAAATAATGTGTCATTCACTTACGAGTAGGCATGGATCCTTCCAGAATAATCCCCTATCCAGACGGACTCGGCGACCGTGCAGGCAGCCGTAGGCCGAACGGGCAGCGTCATCGTGTGGTATTGCAGCCAGCCGCGTTCTGCTGCTAGCAACAGGTCGATGCGGGAGTTTGCGCACATCAACCACATCTCTGAACCCGACAGGCCATCATCTGCGGAAATAGTTATTTGTTTAACTAGGCAGCAAAGTAGTAGTAGTCTACTTTGCTGCCGAGTTGAACATATAATTTTTTCTCCGATTGTTCATAATGATATGGGAGAATATTGTATTTGCGAATTATTACAATTCCCACAATCTCTTTATTTTTCCTGTATAGTGTTCAATTTAAAAAAAAAATTGATAGAATTCGCAGTTGTTGGTTTGACAATTCATGAAATTTCTGACAGTTGTGCGAAAAAATATCGGTATATTTAAATTATTATATAATGGACAGTGATACCGACCTGGAAGTATACTTACATCTCCATTAATAAGGGAGGTGGCACAAAATATAGAGTTGAATTTGTTGCCGAAGAAGTCTCGGATGAAATATGAAGGAAATTATAAACGATTTATGGATTTTTAATTTTGCTGATACATATCAACCAGCAAAGTAAGCACTTTGCTGCCTAGGCAGGAAAAGTAATACTTTGCTGATTGATATGTGTCAGCAAAATTAATATTTGCTGCCAATCGGAGAAAAAAGATATTGTCTATCTTATAATCCGACCTAATACCACCAACCAACCAATTGCTCGGCTGGAAAAGATTCTGTTCAGATCCAAACTGGCATTCATGACTTTCATGTGATATTATAATCATTCGGGTAACCATTTTGCTAAAGAGAAACTATAGAGAAATAAAATAAAAATATGAATATTATTTCAATATACGTGTAGTAAGGACAAATCAGATGATTTGCCCCAAAATGTCACTAGCTTGTCAGTGACAATTTGTATTGAAAAAGGGTTGGAGAAGAGAAATAAAGATATATAGAAAAAATATCAAATTTTCACTTACCTTTATTTCTCTTCTCCAAACCTTTTTCAATACGAATTGTCACTCTTTCATTTCATCGAAACTATGAATTTTGCTCAAAATTGCCTGGATATTTGCTTGTTCAATTCTCTTGTATTTTTCTGAAGATATTTGCTGATTTTGTTTCAAATCTGAAATAATTTTTAGGTATTAGTTCTGAATTTTGCTAACTCTGACTTATGTATCTAAATCTTTCTGCTTTAACTTATTTTTCAACTCTCTATTTTTTTCTTCTATTTGTTTCCTGAATTCCTCACTCTCTTCCACTCGTGAACCTTGGATTTTTTGATATTCCTGCTCTAAAAATTCGATTCTCAAGTCTTTCTTTCTCTCAAAATATGTTCGAAATAAATATCATTATCTGCAAGTTTTTCGTTTCTTGTTGGTTCTAAATTGGATTAGGGTTCTTTTCGATACTCGCTCAGTTTATAAATTGTGGGTTCGGTTCTTTCTCTCAATACCTATTCTTCAACATCAAATCTTCCGTTCTGAAGTGTACCTGATGAAAATGCGTTGAAAAATGTTCTATAACCTAAAAAGAAATTTGAATACCTTGCAAATTTTGTGGCCTGAACCTATATTCCATGCCGGCCGCATCATATTATGTTTCCATTTTTGAAGAATTACCTTATCCGTTGGAAATTCGAAAAGAGTGTATTGATTTCCCGTGTTCTCACAGTTGGAAACTGCACAAACTTGCATCTTTCTCATAATTCCCTCAATTTTTTCTCAGTTCCCGCTTTTTCCATCAATTTATTTGTGGTTATGTCTGATTGTCAGTGCTTGTCATAGTGTCCGTACTCTGATAGGTCGCATGCAAGAACTGTCAGATGACCGACCCTGGAGGCAAAACATATTTGTTTACAAGTGATCCAAATAGTTTTCCACAATTATTTTGGCATATGAATCGTATTTTTCCGCTATTCATCAATTCGCTAATGTCATCACATTGTGCTGTTGTAAAATGCACAAAAACTGCAGCGGAAGATGAAGAAATCCGGATGGTACATTATGATTCAAAAGTAAGTACCTACTATAGTAACTCACATAGTTTTCATTTTTGAAATTTGGTTGGAATAATGCAAGAAGATTGGATTCATGCAATCAATCGGTAGGACTGGTCTGACATGCTGACGATCGTGTGTGTTGTAGACATTTTCAATCTATTAGCAGCATTAGCTTGTATTGCAGAAGTGGCAGAAGGCAGAAGGAATTTTAATAAGGAATGACAACATTTCATAATGCTAACTATGTGAGATTACTATTTACCTGAAAAACCATATTCCCTAGTCTCTTGCTGCATTTTTTGTGCATTGTACAACAGCACAATGCGAAGGCATGCTTGAATTAATGAATAACGCAAGAAACACGATTCGTATGCCAAAATATTGTGAAAAACTATTTCAACCTTTTGATTCCTCTGTAACCAAATGAAAAAGTGAGGTTGTGTTTCAATAATTCACAGAAGAATGAGGTTGTGTTTCAATATTTTGCCTCCAGGGTCGGTCTTCGTGCACGCGACCTATACACAAAAAACGTCAAAACAACAGTGTCAAATACGTTTAGGAACTCTAGACACGGCAAGTGTCTCTGTTCATGAGATGGGTGAGGAAGGCGGTGTTGCCAACTCTTTAACACGTTCGCTGCCGAGCTGAAATTTCAAAACATGACTTCACGGGCCAAGGTAATTTTCACCAATGAGGTACGTATTCAATTTATACCCACACAAAAGTCCCCACTAAAACCCTCCAGGCCAAAACTTTCAGTTGCTCTTTATGCTGCCAGGCCGCAGAGATCATAAGCTAATGCATTTCTTATTGCCCGTATATTACAGAGAATACACCGTTGCTCAGACAGAATGATAGTCCGTGTATCATTTAGGATACCCCCGGCCTGTGGAAAGCACTACCTGGTGTATCATTAATGATACACCAGGCAGCGAACGTGTTAAATTGTTTGTAAATCAACAATTTCCAACATATTGTGAATACCTGTGATGTGGGTCAAGGCGGCGCTGGCCGACGCTACCACCGGCGCCTGATGACGCAACGAGACGACGTCGCACAAGTGCGTGAACTCCGGCGCGCTGGCTATCGAGACGATCTGGCTAGCCGACGGTCGGTCCTTCGGCTGCTGCGACCAGCATAGCACCATCAGGTCGAGGATGTGGCTAGGGTACAAGGTCTCCTGCGAACGGATCGTCAATCAATCCATCAAAATATACTTCATTGTCGGAAGGAAGAAATTATCATTGACAAAGCGTGGGATTGGACAGTTGAGAAATATAAAAGAATGTATAAACATTTATGCTTTTATTCGCGATAGATAAACATTCTAGTTTTATTGGATCTAAAATTTATAATGAAATACCATCAAAATAAAAACGCCTTAATATCATGACTTTTAAAAAAGAAGTTGAAAGTTAGCTTATAGAAAATGCGAAAAAAATCGTTGATATAACTCCATTTTTCATTATTTCACTTCATTCTCATTATTGTACCTATGAATTGTTTTTTTTAATTGACTCGGCCGTTACTTGATGAAAATCCATGACAAATGTAAAAACTTCACAAACGATAATATTTCTACAAATTCTTAAACACCCGACATGTTTCGCTAACAAAGTAGCTTCGTAAGGTATTATACTGGTACAATGAACTAACCTTGACTTGCTTTATTTTTATATACTACTTTCCCAACCTGAAGGATTAGTTACCTGTGGACAGGTTCGATAAACCTCCATTTTGGGAAATTAGGCAACAATATCTACATTGAAATACAGTGTACCGGATTAACTTGAATATGTATTTGCTATCAACCCTTTCAAGTTAATCCGGTACACCGTATTTGAAATCATCATCGAAAGCATTGAACTGTCATAGTCGTGGCAGTCTTGAAGGTTTCATTTGATAGATCCGGCTCGAAGGACCAATATGTTCGATGCCTGATAGGTAGTGGACTGTATTTGTATGGTTATGTTAATAAAATTGAGACAGATAATCGATTCAACTCACGCGATAAGTCAAGGGCGGCCTGCCCCCTTCCAAGATGCACTCCTTGACCGACTCGTGGCCCTCGAAGGGCTGTCGCAGCGCCAGCAGCTCGTAGACGAACATGCCGAAGGAGAAGCAGTCCACCTTCTCGGTGTACTCCTCCTCGCCGTTGTACCGCATGATTTCCGGCGCCATGAAGCCCTCCGTGCCACCGAAGCCCTTCGTGCCGGACGGCAGGGTCAGCCTGCTTATACCTGAAGGGCGGAGACGATAGTAGTGAAGTGCATGATGAACTAGACGCCCTCAAAGAATTGAACTGACTCGAAAGAAAGAAAATTACGAAGAAATCCAAAATTACATCACAAGAAGAAATCAAATTATCGTATGTAATACAACGAGTGCATTGATGATTATCGAAATACAAATCCCATCGATGCTATGCGCTCGTGTGGTTTCCAAGCAACATAATTTGTTTCGATAAAGATGAAGAATTTTTGAGTTGTATTTGTTAAGATGATGATACTTTTATCTCGTATTTTCATATGCAGTCGTTGCGTTATTCATACCAACATAGATACATCGAAGAATTTAGCGCCATCAATGAGATACAGTCAAGGCCAAGGTCCCTCAGGACAGCCATCTGGGTCCATTATTGTTTATTATCTACATAGACCAAAAAACGCTCTTATCTACATAAATGGTGTCAGTAAATGTTAAAAAAAAACTAAGTTTCTAGTCTACCCAATGACAAACATTTTTAAGGAAGTAAACATTTGACAAGTTTTCAGAATTTCGCGATGGAAATCACCTTTTGTATTTCTCAACGCGATAAACTTATCGTATATTGAACTAATGGACAATATTTTGAACATGTTCTGTTTGCCCAGACTATTTGAATGAATAAATGAATCAACAAAATCACTTGATAACAAAAATTACCAATCAGACGGAAAATCAATCAACTAGAAAAGAACATTGAGTGTCAAATACTCACCGTAATCGGCGACTTTAATGTGCACCGGATGATCTGGATGGTCCACGAAAGGTGGTGGCATTTCCCAAACCAGCACGTTTTCCGACTTGAGATCCCTGTAGATGATATGCTGGCGATGTAAATACTCGATGGCTTTAGCAGCCTCGAAATAAACAAATAACGCTCATAACCAAAAACCCCACGTTGGGCGCCAATTTCACAATGATTCTTCCATAGAACTTTATTCCAAGGAGATATTGATAATTTATTCACATTCAAACAAGATTATACATTGCCTAGTTGCCAAAAGTGTTTAATTAGTATTCTTTGCCATCCTCAGGAAATTATCAGGGAGAAACATTGACATAGAAAAAGAGGGAAGACATAACATTCCATTCATAAAACACTATTTGTTTAGAATCAATCATACATACATCAAAAGTTTCAAATAAGTTAGAAAGAGAAGGCAACGCTGTGAACTACACCACTGCTCAAGTTAGGAGAAACATAACCTTATAGTCGAAAGACCAATTTGAGGTTTGAATGGTGAACTTTTTCACAATCTATGAACTGGCGAACCATAATAGACTATTAATAATTGTCTTTATACAGATTTATAACAAGAAATCACTGAAAATCTATTGAAAAAGTCAAAAAATGGTAACAAACACAGCACAACAAAACGGTATCGTCGGCTTTTGACATAAGTGAAAGACTAAGGAAAATATGCGTTACCCGTGGTAAACACGCCAATACAGCGTTGCCACAGTTATCTCCATAATACATTATAATTTCATGAAATGATGAAATTAGTGAAATTTACATATTTCTTCGAACATTGTAGGAATTTTCTTTCGTCTTCTCTCTTTTTATATGTCTATGGGGAAAACAAATACCAGTGTCATGTCTCGTCTCCTTGGAATACCAAATCTACGGATTTCAAAAAACAGTCCTCTCACCTGCAAAATGATGGCTTGTAGGGTGTAGGGGCCCACTTTGGCCCCCGACCGCCTGTAGTGCCTCAATACCAGATCGAGCGCCCCCTGCGGGGCCAGATCTAATACTAGGGCCAAAGGGCTGGTGCAAACGCCCACGAACGGTACGATGTTCGGGTGTTTCAAGGATAACAGGATGTTGAGTTCTTGTCGAGCGGTGCAGTACGCCTTGCAAGCGTACTGCAAAGGGTCTCTGTCCCATTTACCTTGAGCTGCCTTAACAATGAGCAAATTTACAACTTTAAAAAATTTCATTCCTCTGTGTAGTTCATGAGAATTCATTGAATACATATTTTTTATTCTTGTCGTTAGATCAAATGGGAGTTACTAGATCATTACCTTGAAGGCTATAACGGCAGATTGTCTGGCATTCGGCCCAGGTTGGACGGGCTGCAACATTTTCATGGCCACGTCCATGGTCGTGTTGGAGCCTCTGATACGGCAAGTGCCTTTGAAGACGAACCCGAAAGCGCCTCGGCCCAACAGACGACCCTTCTTTATGTTCTCCGGTTTGATGATGTACCGTTCCCCCAAGTCCATGAATATCTGAAATGTTTCATTGGTAATAATAGTCCGAGAGTCATTCAAACGGTCTAGACAATCAGAGGCTAGTGTTCGTGTTCAGCGCAGTAGGCGAAAGAAGAGCTCCTGTATGGTACTGAGGCTGTGGTCGTAGCTACCCGGGAGGTCTACTGGTGCCGACTAACCCGAAGAATAAGTTAGTAGCCAGGTGGTGAAAGCATTGCATTTTCTGAGAGAGACGATAAACGCCATCTGTGCACCTGAGGACACTCGTTTTGCGTCGGGAGTTAGGTCAGGATAGCTCGATAGGGACTTAGAGGCCTTCAGTCTTGATAGGTCTAGGCGATAGTGAACCCCACGTGATCGGTGCAACGCCAACGTGGTATCCGAGATGGGTTTGACGGAAGCTTAGCAGCTGTAGTAGTAAGTTTAGCTATCTCTCAGGAAGGTAGAAAACTTGACAGGGGTAAGTGGTGTAGGAATTGTCCCGCAGAGGTTAGGATTTACTCTGCAGTTACCTGTAAGTGGGCCATAGTGTCTGTACCTTCCAAGTGGGTTATTTCTACACTTTCCAAACTAATTACTTGAGAGGATCGGACGGCAGTCGCAATTTCCCTGAGTTTTGTCTAATCTGAACATCATCAATATAGTGAGGGTTACAACATTCTCCCCCACTTATTTAGAAAATACATGCATATGAAATTGAATAAAAAACTTCGAATTTATATACATGAGAAATACTCATAAACCCATCACTACACGAACCCTTGATTCTTCACATCATTCTGTAGTCTTTGGACCAAACAGGTGGACGTCTGTCTCTCTGTGGTCGTGCTGCTATTGGGTTCGGTGGTGGATCAGCCATATGATGATCATGGTTCAGTGGTTCTTGATCAGTTCGTCGTGATAAAGGAACTGCCGGAATCCTTGGAACATTGAATGACTGACTGGGCCCGAACGTAACTGTCTTTTTGGGAACCAGCGTTGATCGCAACTGGTTGATGTGTCGTTTCAAGGTCCTTCCGGAGTCTAAGACGACCTGATAATGGAGTCTACCAAGTTTCTTCTTGACTTCTCCGAATTGCCATATATGCTTGCTATTGATGAAAAGCCTAATCTGAACTCTCTCCCCCACTTGAAAACACCGTACCGGTTTTGATACAAGCTGTGAGGCTTGAGGTCGATAGGGAAAAATTGCATCCAAGCGGATCCGTATTTTCCTATGCAGATACAGCTCTGCAGGCGATTTACCACAGGCAAGGGGTGTCGCACGATAACGAAACATGATGTTCTGGACTTTGTCTTGAATAGGCGTACAGTCATCAGCAGCAGTTTTCAATCTGTGTTTTAAAGTCTGTACGTTCCTTTCCGCAAGTCCATTTGTAGCCGGATGTCCTGGAGCAATGAATTTTTGGAACATTCCATTGTATTTACAGTATGTACGGAACTCTTCGCTTTGAAAAATCGATGCATTGTCCGATACGATTACTGAAGGATATCCATGGACTGCAAAAATATTCTCCAGCAAAGTGATCGTCGAGGAACTAGTTGGTGCATCTTTCACGATTTTAACTTCTGCCCATTTGGATTTCGCATCAACACATACTAGAAAATATCGATTTTCAAAAGGACCAGCATAGTCGATATGGATCCTTTCCCAATTACTTGCAGGAGGGTCCCATGGGTGAACAGGTACTTTAGGAGGATTTGATTTTATCAGTGCACAACTTTCACAACCTTTAACCAATCGTTCGATGTCCCGATCAATGCTTGGCCAATATACATAGCGGCGGGCAAGCTGCTTCATCTTTGTGATACCCAGATGTGTTTCATGAAGTTCTGTAAGTATACTAGATCTCAACTGGCCAGGAATTACAACCCTATCATTTCGAAAAAGAATGCCGTCTGTCAATGTATATTCGGAATTCTCTGTATGATTTTTCAGGTTTTGCACAATTTTGTTGAGATCTGGGTCCTTCTCAGTTTCCTGTTTGATTGACGTAGATGTGATTTTTTCGTTCGAAATCTGGAAAATTACTTGATCACATAACTGGTTTACCTCATCACCAATCAGAGAATCAGTTGAAATACTGGAATACTGCATCGGAGCCCGAGACAAACAATCAACATTTTGATTTTCCTTCCCTCTCTTGAACTGAACAGAGTAATTGAAACCTGAGAGAAATGATGCATAGCGAAGCAGGCGGGAAGAAGTCATCTGTGGCAGTGCTTTATGGTGATGGAATATTCTGGAAAGTGGCTCATTGTCAGTAATGAGTAGAAAATGTTTGCCAAACAAGTAATTGTAGAAGTGATTAACACCGAAGATGATCGCAAGTGCCTCTCTATCGAGTTGACTGTAATTTCTTTCGGAGGCAGTGAGCGAACGCGAAGCATACGCGATCGGCCTTTCTCCTTCATCGGTGATAATATGACTGAGTACAGCGGCTATTCCAGTGGGACTGGCATCTGTGGTCAAAACGAGAGGAAGGCTGGGATCGAACGGCATTAGAACACGATCGCTGCAGAGTTCACTCTTCAGTTTCAGGAATGCTGACTCGCATTCTGCCGTCCATAACCATCGTTTTCTCTTCATTAGTAAACATCGAAGGGGGTATGAAAGTGTTGAAAAATCAGGAACGAATCGGGAGTAATATGTGACAAGACCTAGAAATCTTCTAACTTCATCGGCATTAGATGGACGTGGCATATCTTGAATTGCGCGGATCTTCACTGGAGACTTGGAAATCTTATTGAATTCTACGATATGTCCTAGATATTCAATTTTCTCTTTGAAAAATGAGCATTTATTTTTGTTGACATGAAGATCGAAGTCCATGAGTTTTTGCAGGCAGGCTTTAAGATTTTCTGTGCATTCTTCAATTGTCAATCCATGTACAATTATATCGTCAAAATACGATTCTGTTTTTGGAAGACCCTTGAGAATCCCTGAGAGTATACGATTGAAATCGGATGGAGCCGTTTTGATTCCAAAACTAAGACGATTCATGCGATAAGTGCCACGGTGAGTTGAAATAGTCTGAATGACGCTGCTTTCATCATCAACTTTCAGATGTAAATAAGCTTTGAAGAGATCAAGTTTACAAAAATACTTTGAATTACGGAGGCTGTTTAGCACATCGTCTATTCGTCGAATTGGGTGATTCGCCTGGACTAATCTTTCATTCACACCACATTTGTAATCGACGCATAATCGAACACCTCCATCGGCTTTTGGAATGACTACTAGGGGTGATCCCCAGTCACTCATAGGAACTAATGATATGATACCATCTGCTTCTAAGGAGTCCAATTCCTTGTCCACAAGCTCTCTAAGTGCATATGGGACATTTCGTTCTCTTGTGAAGACAGGTTTGGCTCCTTCTCTGAGTTGAAGTGTAACTTTCAATCCTGGAACACATCCAACTTTTGCTTCAAATATGGATGCGAAATAACTGAATACATCTTCGATTGAATTGACAGATTGTAGTTGGTACAATAAAGCTGAGTTTCCAATTTCAGTGTCAATCTGCTGAAGCTCAATACCTAGCCCTCGAATCCATTGTCGGCCAAGAAGAGCATCATGTCCGGCTGGAACGATGTGTAGTTCACCTTCAATTTCTTTTCCACGGTATACAACATTTACTGATATTTTTCCCCTGGGTTGAATGAGATTACCTGAATAAGACCTGAATGCAATATTTGAATTTCTGATAGGTACATTCAGATTCAGATTATTGAAATCGTCCTCATTCAATAAGGAAAACTTTGCACCGGAATCAACTTCAAATCGCTGTGATTTGCCATTCAGTGAGACAGAAATGAAATATTTGTCAGAGTCGGGAGTCATTTCGAATAAGTCAACGATTTCACAATGCTGTAATACTGTTTCAATTTTGTTAAGACCGTACGTGAAATCAGAATCTGGCTGATCTTCAGAAACAGCATGAACTGTAGTGGAACTGGAAACACCTGATCTTCTGCGAGAACCATTCATCAAGGTCGTGATACAAACCTTGGCAACGTGACCATTTTTCTTGCAGGAGTCACATGATATTCTGTTTCTATCGAGACGACAATCGTTGATTTTATGATTGTTCCTCCCACATCGAATACAAAGATTTTCTATTCCTAGTGCCTTGTAATCTGGTTGACGTCGTCGGTAATTTAAATTTTGGATACTTGGACTATGTGATCGGGAGTTTGAACGACAACTGGAACGATTTCTGGAATTATGTCGTGCGGAATTTGTGATTTTATTAACGTCACACATGTTGAAATTCGTATGGCTGGAACTGGAACGCTGAGTCAGCTCCTTACTCTCTATTTTCGAGGCTTCAAGAGCGGATGCTTTTGACAAAATTTCTTCGAATGATGTTACATTTGATTGCAAAACCTGTTCTCTCAACCAGTCGTCACGCAAACCACGAATAAACTGAGCTCTCAGGAAAACATCGGCAATGGATACTGACTTGGTACATTCGCATTTGACTGAAAATTCGCATTCAACAAGATCACGTTGAAGAGCTGCAACGTATTCGGCAATCGTCTGTCTTTCTTTTTGAAAAACATTCAGGAAATAATGTTGGGAAACAACCACACTTTTCTTTGGTATGAGCATTTGTTTGAAAACCTTCACCAGATCTTCATAAGATAAAAGTTTTACTGGTTTCTCGGGACCAAGGAATGCTGCTAAACTGTTATAATGCGTTGACCCAATCGAAACACACAGTAGCTGAGCAATTTTTGATTTATCACTGACACCTTTCATTGTATAGTAGTTTTCGAAACGTTCAAGATAACAGGAAAACTTCTCTCGGCGGGCATCGAAATTCTCGAAAGGTGCAATACTCGAAAAATTAACAGGAGAACCAGCCACAGGCTGCTGTTCGGGACGTAACTGGGCCACAAGCTCGTTGATGAGAGATTGCTGCTGGTCATGCATCACAGTCATGAATTGTCTGAACTGTTCCGCGTCCATTTGAAAAATTATTGAAAATGCCTTTACCTTATTCTATAAGCTATATGTTTTTCACTCGTCGCCAACTGAAATGATTCTGTGAACTGAGATTGGAATGTACTTTCTGGATAGAACTTAAACATTGAACATGACTTTATTCATCTCTGACAGTATGTCACAATGGGTTGTCTAATCTGAACATCATCAATATAGTGAGGGTTACAACAGATGTTATCTCAATACCACAAGTAATACTATTTTGTCGGAAATATTCGGCGATTGTTACGACAGCTTGTTGCCTTATAATTTCGCGAATCACAATATCATGAGCTGAATTAAAGCAGCAAGCTGGAGTATGTCAATCGACGAATATTTCTAGGAAAAATAGTACCATGAGTTGTATTCGTGTACCTATTTCACAATGGACTCAATGTGTTTACATTGGGCTCATTGCTTTTTCATGATGAGACAATAAAGGAGCGTCTCGCGAGAGTTGCACACACTGCATCCATTATTCTGGCTTCCACCATGATTGACGTTTTAAATGCCGAAAAATTTGACGATGAAAAACGAGGTTAGTAATAATCAAAACAAGTTCAGTCGACAGACCATATGAAATAAGGTTTCATGAATTTGTAAACGAAAAAAAGTTCTACTATGAAAAATCGAATTTGTTCACACACGAAATTAAAACTCACCGTATCGGGTGCTATCCTAGATAGAGGACAGTCCCCGTGAGCGGGACAAACTACTTTTTTGCTCCCGTACGCCTCCAAAATGCACTCCTCCACCATCCAAGTGTAATAAACCGGTTTTTCGTCTTCTGCGGCAACGCCTGGATGTCCTTCCACAGATGGCATTCTACTAGAGCTTTCGGATTCTTGTCCAACTCCGCTGTCGCATTCGGAAGTGTAAGATTCCTGTGATTTTCGCGTTCTATAAATATCGAATCCTAAAAAACAAGATAATTCCTGCTATTTTCGTGTTCTCTAAATATCGATGGAATCGAAAAATGAGATAATCCAGTGTTTATACATAAAGTTCATATGAAAATGTATTCTAACTGGCTCCGTTTTTGAGATACAGGATGTTGAAGTTGAAAGTATTGATTGTTTTTATTTATAACTGTGACGCCACTGGAAATATTATTTCGAATCTAATCGCACCAGAACAAGTCTCATCAATTACATTATTATTCTCGAACGACTGAAGGTGTGTTTAAAAAACTCTGTTGCCATGGTAACGTGTTTGATTTTTTGAATAAATCACAGATCATCAATCCGTGATTAATCGATCATTTAGAGTGGTACCAGGATGAACAGAAGAAGGTGTAAAAACTCCTATCAAATCCCATCTCCTGTTTTTCGGTCAAAATTCTTGACCTACGGCCTACTTGACAGAAGGATTCTTTTCAATATCGCGGAATGTAGGTCGCATTTTACCCGTTAGATGGCGAAATTTCAACCAAAATTCAAGGTTGGTGGAACTGATGATAATTGAAATTCCCCAAAATTACAGTTTTGTACTCTCAAATTCAATCTCATTTGATTCGTGGTTATGTTATGAATGTTATGATATTATTATTTCTGGTGCAAGCGGTGTGTAAGCGCCGTTTTCTGTTTTCTGTCATGAAAGAAATCTGTAAAAAGTGTCGCCATCTTGCGAACAACTTAGAACTGATATGCCATTATTGCGGAATCTGCGGTCAAGCGTTTTGGGAGAAACAAAACACCATATTCTATTCACCTTGCGTGGTACATATGCGAACGCTAAATGCCAGTTTAATTATGTGAGTAGAAAAACAATTGAAAAGCCCGTACCATTCTCATGTTCCTGATTCACAACATCCACCGTCGGTGGAAACTCGTTGAAATTCTTCTCGCCATCCTCTGCTTGTGCCAAACATCGAGGACAAGGCACTAATCGAGTCACCAGAAATTTACCCTCCGAAGTGTGCACAAACCTTAAACATTAAAAAACTAGAAATACTAAAAAAAAAAAATTTTTGAGATAATATAAAAGAAGAAAAACATACAGGGTGTGTCAGAATTGTGGTGGCAGAAGTCTAGGGAAGATTTCCCCAACAAAAGATGAAAAAAAGTTCTTATGTATGTAGGTACCAAAGTACTTCTTGTCCAAGTAAAAGAAAATATTAGTTTTTCGTCAATATCTTGAAAAATATTTCTCACAAGATTTGAAGCTTCAATACGAGCTTATGTCTTATTTGGATAATATCTAAGCATTCTTATTTTTCCTTATGGGGTTCAGAGATTGAAATATTTATATATCATTGTATCAATGTATATATTATGAGAATAATTAAGGAGAACAAAAAAAAACAGTGTGACTTTTTTTTCTACAAAAAAAAACGACTTCCCGATGGGTACGCCCCAAGAAATTCTGGATCAAATTCTAAACTTGGAAACGAAGCATTTTCGGAGACATATTCATTTGAACTTTTTTCATATTTTGTTGAGAGGAATATTGTCACCACAACTCTGAATCACCCTGTATACTATGGTGAGTTCAATCGTCAACTTTTTGATAATATTCCATAGCTCTGACATTTTTTTCTTGCCATTTCGTGAATAAATTATCATTATTATAATCAATCAGCTTTATATTTATTGTTCATCAACTTACATGTTCAAAAACAGAAATGATATTGAATTTAAAAAAAAAATTATGATATAAGGAACAAAAACAAAACATTGAAATATGAATCTAATAAAACATTTGGACAAAGAAATTATAAATATTTGATTCCGCGTGATATTGTCAAATACTTTTTTCACTACAAAGGACGACGGCACTGAACAATTTGGAAGTAGCAGAAAGAGCCATTACCAAAATCCGGCACCCTCAAAATCCCCTTCACCGTCCATCAAACGAACTTCTATATCGCTGACCAGGTTGCAACCAATTTTTGAGAGACTGAAAAAGCTAACCTTGAAGTTTTCCAAAAACGAACCCAATCTCCAAATTATCCACGGTCGGTGGCCTTTTGTTTGGGTATCCAAGAAAGCTCCTTAATTATAAGTCTCTTCAAGGAGTTAATTTGCTTCTCTGGTTAATATTTAATATCTATTTATACGAAATTTCAACCAGTTCCGAATTGTATTTATACCCAATGATTGAATGAATAACAATACATTTTTATTTATAAATTACTTCTGTCTCGAATGAATCAATTGATTTAATAACCATAATTTTCATTTTATATACCTTACAACCTTATTACGTCAACATTTTGAATAAACTTTATTATTATTATCATTATTATTGTAATTATTACCTGGTGCCTAATGTCGGGTACCAATCCTCGAGCAGGATGTCGATGTGGTCGACGGTCAAAGCCAACAGTTGGGCGGTGCATTCCGTGGATGGTTCGATCACCAGTAAATCTTTGCTTTTTGCGTCGGCTGATGCGGGTTCCACCACCAGAGATTCCACGGGAAAGTGGATTTCCAAGATGGAAGTGGTTTGTAGGTCGACGTCGCACCATGTGCCTTCTTGTTTTATACGAAATCTAGAAGGAAATAATGATGCCCTTATAGATAGACAGATACACTCACCGACAAAAAATCCGGGAAGCAAAACATTTTGCTAAAATGATCGCCCTGTGTAACATCCTGTATGTACATATATATTATGATATATGTTGAGGATGAAGAGTTATCATGTTATGTCATTAACGAGATGAAATTTCCAACAGCGTATACACTGATTGTCGATTCTTTGTTCTCGATAATCGATTTTCCCCCTTGAATTTGAACGCTTTACTTCGCTATTTTTTGTAGTTGTTCTGCCTCTGGATTGCTTGATTTTATTGATAGTTGATCAAGTACAACTTGATGATAGTTCTTTACTATCTAATTTGAAAGATTCAATTGCTAAAGCATTTGCTACCAATTTTTCAAAAGACTTTTCATTTGACTGAATGATTTCTTCACGAATTGATGTATCTTTGACACCTCTTATGAATTGTGCCCAAGAAAATCTTCAGGAATATTAATTTCATTTCCGCATTGACAACATGTTATGAGGTCGCAATCCAGAGTGGAACTCCTCAAATTCATGGTGAAATCAGAAATTGATTGATTTTCTTGTTGAAATGTTGATGAAAACTTATGTTGCGACACTAGCACGTTCTTCTTTGGGGACAAATAATCATCAAGTTTTTTAACTATCCCGTTGTAGTCGAATTCATTGGGTTTTCTAGGAGCTACAAGTGCTGATAGGACTGAAAATGTTGAAGAACCAATGGATGTTAATAGCAGTTCAGCCGCGAACTTTTTGTTGTCCAGAACTTTCTTAATAGCAAGGTAATTTTCAAACCTTTCTGAATTTATGTGAGAAAATTTTCATTCTGTTGATTGAAATTTTCGAATGCGGGCACAATTGTGGCGTTACCTGGAGAATTGAGCTTATTTGAACAAAAAGGGCTTGATTTTTCTCCAAAACTCGTTGATTTGTAGCTTGCATTGCTTCCATATGCGTTTTGAACATCTCTGCGTCCATGGTATTTTCGTTCTATTGAACTTTGTTTTTTCTTGATGAATTAGATTTGTTGATTTAACTTTCAAATTTTTCGTTCGAATTTGGTGAAATTTCGACCAAATCGTAGATTCATGTTCCGAAATGTTGGCCTGAATTTTATTTACCAAAAAAACTGATGGCTGGATCATTATTCAGGGAAAAACTAAAGTTACTCTTTCACCCATAATTTCTTAACGCCCTGTGTCAAAAGTGAGTGACTAAACATAGCTTCATCATGTTTTGAATTGAAGTGTGATCCTTTCTTAACACAATCCTTTTTCATTCGCGTATATATATTCTTTTCAAGAAAATATACAAGGGTTAATTTTTATCAATAATAATGCAGAACCTACATGAACTCACTATTTGAATTAATATCGCTTATTACCACTCACCGGCAAAAAGAAACCTCATATACAAAAAATAAACAAAAAGCAAGCTCCCTAGATGTAGACAATAGCGAGTATAACCTTCATGAGCTTGAAATACGGCATTCAACCGCCGTAGCATCAACTTGATCAAATTTCTCAAGCAGTTGTAGAGTAATTGCCTCTGAAGAGCGAATCGCAGCTCTTGAAGAGTCTCTGACAAGACCAGACAAAGACGAATGAGGCTCTGAAGTTAACCCCAAAAACGTTCTAAAGGTTCTGAATAATTGTAAATAGAAATTTAAAAAATCCTCAAACTCGCAGAAAACGAATTTTGTTATCAGATTTCGCCTTTTTTGGAGAAAAAAAAAACGAAATCTCGATCCCCTGTCTTTTTGTATCCTTTCAGTCGGTTTTACAAGTTTAAAAATTACCCAAGTAATGAGAAATTGTTCGGAGCATTATCCAATTTATAAATTTTCGTGAAAATAACAACAATCAAATATTTTTCACCAGTAACCAACCGGGCCAGAAGTCAGAAGTACTGAAAGCGATATGATTTGTCTAGGACACAACATAATCACAACCTAAAAAAATTCTTCAATCAAAACTCGCAGAAGACGTATTTTATATCAGATTTCACCCGAGATAATCTCTGAAATCTCTATCGCAACTGTCTTTTTAGACCCTTCCCAACTGTTTAACAAGTCCAAAAACAACCCCCAAGTCATCCGGAGCATTTTCCGACTCAACATTTTCCTGAAAATATAAGAAAAATCTTACCTCAATTGTTTATAAAACGCCGCAGAATTGTGCAAAACTTCCTTCATCCTAAACAGCGTCACATCACCGTACTTCAATTGCAAACCGGTCTGCCACAACACCCATTCCGCCTTCAAATCCAGCACTTTCACCAGCTCCAAATCCTGGCCGATCTCCTTCGGGAACATGAAGAACGACCGGACGATGTCGATGATCGAATCGTCCGCCAAAATCCGGGAAATCAGTCGGGACCAGAAGCCCGAAGGGAAGTAAGACATGAGGAGCAGGCGAGTCATGGATTTGTCCGAGGATTGGGTTTTCAGCCGGTAAAGAGGGTCATCCGGGACTGAAACTGAAAGTAAAGGTCATCCGACAGGCACAACTGAATTTACTAACTGTTCCTCAGACTGAATACGATAGATAGACACCGCGATTCATTCATAAATCAAAAAAAGTATACGCCAACTATCCTAATCACCAAACTCGGATTAATGAATGAAATCGCGAATGGTGGGGATTGCTCAGCAGAATCTAGAATAGATTGCCATCCTTGGACACAATATGTTAACGCATTGTATATTTCATCACTGGTTACCGGATGGCATATTTTGTAATATGGTCTCCACTGTTACAGAATACTAGGACATACGGTCTATCAATAAAATAGAGTAACATCGTGTCCAGATTTCCAGATTGTTGTTATGGTAGACGTTATTTACAGCTGCATGAAATTGTTTAAAAAAATCATATTCTCTTTTATAAGATATATTTAGCAGCCTAGGGGTGTGATTGATATACAGATTCATAAGATACTATCTGCATGACGCAATTGGACCTGGTGTTAGGTGAGTTACTTATTCCATGTTATTGTAGACATCATCATGTTAAGACTATCTCTATTTTAGATTGTCAAGTTTAAGAAGAATATAGATTACTTATACATTGGTCTTGTTCTCTGTACTGAGATTCATTGTGCAAACCCATATTCGTTACACCACGAATATAAAAAACAATGAATAATAAATAAATCAATTCAAGAACGAAAAAGTCACTGAATCATCCATCTTATTGAATTTATCATACTTATTACAACCAAATCATTAAAAAATGATCAACTGATCATACTTCATATGAAAAGGGTCCTTCGAGCCGGATATGAACCAGCGACCTATGAACTACAAACTATGCCATCCGGTAACAAGTGATGAAATATACAATGCGTTAGCACATTGTAATCAGAAAGGACTTTAATGAATTGGAATTTGACATTCATTGGAGAGACACATGCACCAACAGGTTCATACCAAGTGACTCACAACATTGTTTACATGGGAAAATCACGTAAGAACAATTGCTAAAAGTGCATCCCAAAAACTTGGTTTTCACTTTCGGGCCAGGAGCTATTTCGCTTCCAGTCAGCTGCTTATGACCTATAAGGCATAGATATGACCTGTCCTGGAATACGATTGCCATATTTGGAGTGTAGCACCGAAACATACCCTGAAACTGTTGGATTCTGTCAAAAAAAAAAGGGCAATTCGTCTCTTGGGTGATGCCTTGCTCACAAACTCACTCACTTCTCTGGAACACCGTAGAAAAGTTGGCGATCTGGCTCTATTTTATAGATATTTTCATGGACGATGCTCTTCTGAAATATCAACAATTGTTCCTCCCTTGACAGTCCTCGCGAGATTAACCCGTCGAGTTGAGGCTTCGCGCTCCTTCGTTGTCACTTTGGACACCTGCAGAACATCTCTTTCCAAAGACTCGTTCCAACGAACAACGAGGCTCTGAAACACATTGCCAAGGGAGGTGTTCCCCGAGGCATATAACCTCCAGAAATTTAAGAAGAACACCAATTCCTACCTTATTTCCCTTGGTTCTCACGATGTTCAACTTTACATTTTCTGCTCCATAGGTTATTATCCAATTTGTAATCTAAAGAGAATTACACCACCGTGTTGGGATACATGAAAATTTTGCGATTCACCATGGTTTTAAAACTAATATAATAGATAATGTATTCGGAATAGCTAGAGATCGAAATTAGGTTACTGAAACCACCACTCTAGAAGTTACTTCAGTTAATGACAGATTTGTAGAGATTCCTTCTGATGCTAGAGTCACAAGGTATTTTTATATCACAAGGGTTTAACATAGCTTTTCCTGTAAAAATATTATTTGCAGTCATCTAGGTAACCTTGTAGATAAAATTGATACTAATGATAAGTAAGGTAGTTATTCTAAATTTGAGTTGTGAGTGGATAAGACGAAAATTAATATACTTGAAGGATCTCGACTATCAAATAATATTTCTGCGACTAGATTCACTTCTTCTAAGGTTACGTTAGGTTAGGTTTCCCACCGTTATTGGCCGGAGAAGCCGTTATAAGACTACTATAATAGATGATGTTTTGAGAATAGCTAGAGATTGATATTAGGTTGGTGAAACCATAAATTAATTATAGTTATCAAGCTAACCCTAAAGATAAAATTAAAACTAATGATTAGTCAGGTAATTATGAACCATGAACTATTAAATCAAATATCTGCGATTAGATTCATGTTTTCTTAGGTTATATTAGGTTAGATTACCCACCGTTGTTAGCTGGCGATGCCACACTATTAGGCATATTCAGCTCGAAAGCCCTGTTTGCGCTGGAATCCCTATAAAGCACGCTTTTGGGCGAGACGGTGACCTTCTTGTTCCTAATTGCCCATCCTCTGGACCGCAGCGGGACCTTCACCCTCACCATCGGATGGAATTGGCCAGGGTAGATCTGCGCCATCAGGATGTCCTCTTCGGAGGGTAGCAGAGAGGGGATCAGCAACGTCCTCGAGTCCCATGTGAGGGCCACCTCGAATTTGTTCAGGAGGTTCACGATGTAACCTTCGAAAAAAAAACGCAAGCTTGCTCGAGTCTCAACCATGAGTTTTTCTCTTTCTCGTCATAGATATCAGCATTTTTACATAAACAAATTCTTCGGGACTATCCATAGACCTTGTTCACGATTGGAATCAGTATAAACGTTATTTTTTTGGTTATTATATTGTGTGTCTGGAAAGTTGGATTCCTCGTGAATGGCAACGCAGCGTTATGGCCGCATGACGGTGATCAGAAGTACAAGTGAAGACGCCAATAAAAGTATCATTTATAATCGATAATAGTGATGAAAGAAACAGATTAGTGGCCCATAGCAGTGTAGTAGCAGTCTCTCAACAATCTCAGCAATAAATGCAGAAGTAACCTGGTGAGTGAGGTTCAATTCGATTTTCAGACAAATAGTAAATTAGGAGGCAAATTCATAAAATTCATAAAAGCGTGAACACGTCCCATGTCAAGGTCACCTCGAATTTAACCTTCGAATAAATGCAAGCTTGCTCACGTCTCAACCATAACTTGAGTTTTTCATGAAAAAAATCGACCTCAATCTGCAGGGATATCAGATTGAATTTTAAAGACTTTTGACATAGACCTTGCTTACGATTGGAATACGTATTCACGTTATTTTTATTATATTGTGCCTGGAAAATATTCGACGTTGACGTAACCTGTTTAAAATGGGCGAATATATAACAATACAACGTATTTCCATCAATTTAGAAAATCTACTACCATAGATTCTCTATCATATATTATATATCATATATCATATAATCTCTATCATATCTAACAACTATGTGACTGAATAAGTGTCTATGATTATTTTTGGATTATAAGCGCAGACAGAAAAAATATATTTTTCGACCTGTACGAGCCTACTGCATCGCGTGAACCGCTGATTTTCTCGAATCTGACATCAAATTCGTTCTTTATGGGTCTGAATTAGTGTCTATGAATTTTTTGGGATTTTTAGGTCAATCAGGAAAAAAAATTTTTTTCGACCAGTATAAGCCTACTTTTTCGCGTGAACTGCTGATTTTGAAAATCTAGAAAAACGATTATTTCTCGAATCTGACATCAAATTCGTTCTTTATGGGTCTGAACTAGTGTCTATGAATTTTTTGTGATTTATAGGTCAATCAGGAAAAAAATTTTTTCGACCAGTATAAGCCTACTGCATCGCGTGAACCGCTGATTTTGAAAATCTAGGGAAACGATTATTTCTCAAATCTGACATCAAATTCGTTCTTTATGGGTCTGAATTAGTGTCTATGAATTTTTTGGGATTTTTAGGTCAATCAGGAAAAAATTTTTTTTCGACCAGTATAAGCCTACTGCATCGCGTGAACCGCTGATTTTGAAAATCTAGGGAAACGATTATTTCTCGAATCTGACATCAAATTCGTTATTTATGGGTCTGAATTAGTGTCTATGAATTTTTTGGGAATTTTAGGTCAATCAGGAAAAATTTTTTTTCGACTAGTATAAGCCTATTGCATCGCGTGAACCGCTGATTTTGAAAATCTAGGGAAACGATTATTTCTCGAATCTGACATCGAATTCGTTCTTTATGGGCCTGAATTAGTGTCTATGAATTTTTTGGGATTTTTAGGTCAATCAGGAAAAATTTTTTTTTCGACCAGTATAAGCCTACTGCATCGCGTGAACCGCTGATTATGAAAATCTAGGAAAAGGGATCTTTCTCGATTCTGACATGGAATTCGTTCTTTATGGGTCTGAATTAGTGTCTATGATTTCTTTGGAATTTTAGGTCAATCAGGAAAAAAATTTTTTTCGACCAGTATAAGCCTACTGCATCGCGTGAACCGCTGATTATGAAAATCTAGAAAAAGGGATCTTCCTCGATTCTGACATGGAATTCGTTCTTTATGGGTCTGAATTAGTGTCTATGATTTCTTTGGAATTTTAGGTCAATCAGGAAAAAAATTTTTTTCGACCAGTATAAGCCTACTGCATCGCGTGAACCGCTGATTTTGAAAATCTAGGGAAACGATTATTTCACGTATCTGACATCAAATTCGTTCTTTATGGGTCTAAATTAGTGTCTATGAATTTTTTGGGATTTTTAGGTCAATCAGGAAAAATTTTTTTTTCGACCAGTATAAGCCTACTGCATCGCGTGAACCGCTGATTTTGAAAATCTAGGAAAAAGATTATTTCTCGAATCTGACATCAAATTCGTTCTTTATTGGTCTGAATTAGTTTCTAAAAATTTTTTGGGATTTTTAGGTCAATCAGGAAAAAAATTTTTTCGACAAGTATAAGCCTACTGCATCGCGTGAACCGCTGATTTTGAAAATCTAGGGAAACGATTATTTCTCGAATCTGACATCAAATTCGTTCTTTATGGGTCTGAATTAGTGTCTATGATTTTATTGGGATTTTTAGGTCAATCAGGAAAAAAAAATTTTTCGACCAGTATAAGCCTACTGTATCGCGTGAACCGCTGATTTTGAAAATCTAAGGAAACGATTATTTCTCGAATCTGACATCAAATTCGTTCTTTATGGGTCTAAATTTGTGTCTATGAATTTTTTCTCGAATCTGACATCAAATTCGTTCTTTATGGGTCTGAATTAGTGTCTATGAATTTTTTGGGAATTTTAGGTCAATCAGGAAAAAAATTTTTTCGACCAGTATAAGCCTACTGCATCGCGTGAACCGCTGATTTTGAAAATCTTAGGAAACGATTATTTCTCGAATCTGACATCAAATTCGTTCTTTATGGGTCTAAATTTGTGTCTATGAATTTTTTCTCGAATCTGACATCAAATTCGTTCTTTATGGGTCTAAATTTGTGTCTATGAATTTTTTCTCGAATCTGACATCAAATTCGTTCTTTATGGGTCTAAATTTGTGTCTATGAATTTTTTCTCGAATCTGACATCAAATTCGTTCTTTATGGGTCTGAATTAGTGTCTATGATTTTATTGGGATTTTTAGGTCAATCAGGAAAAAAAAATTTTTCGACCAGTATAAGCCTACTGTATCGCGTGAACCGCTGATTTTGAAAATCTAAGGAAACGATTATTTCTCGAATCTGACATCAAATTCGTTCTTTATGGGTCTAAATTTGTGTCTATGAATTTTTTCTCGAATCTGACATCAAATTCGTTCTTTATGGGTCTGAATTAGTGTCTATGAATTTTTTGGGATTTTTAGGTCAATCAGGAAAAAAATTTTTTTCGACCAGTATAAGTCTACTGCATCGCGTGAACCGCTGATTTTGAAAATCTAGGGAAACGATTATTTCTCGAATCTGACATCAAATTCGTTCTTTATTGGTCTGAACTAGTGTCTACGAATTTTCTGGGAATTTTAGGTCAATCAGGAAAAAAATTTTTTTCGACCAATATAAGTCTACTGCATCGCGTGAACCGCTGATTTTGAGAATCTAGGGAAACGATTATTTCTCGAATCTGACATCAAATTCGTTCTTTATGGGTCTGAATTAGTGTCTATGAATTTTTTGGGAATTTTAGGTCAATCAGGAAAAAATTTTTTTTCGACCAGTATAAGCCTACTGCATCGCGTGAACCGCTGATTTTGAAAATCTAGGAAAACGATTATTTCTCGAATCTGACATCAAATTCGTTCTTTATGGGTCTGAATTAGTGTCTATGAATTTTTTGGGAATTTTAGGTCAATCAGGAAAAAATTTTTTTTCGACCAGTATAAGCCTACTGCATCGCGTGAACCGCTGATTTTGAAAATCTAGGGAAATGATTATTTCTCGAATCTGACATCAAATTCGTTCTTTATGGGTCTGAATTAGTGTCTATGAATTTTTTGGGAATTTTAGGTCAATCAGGAAAAAAATTTTTTTCGACCAGTATAAGCCTACTGCATCGCGTGAACCGCTGATTTTGAAAATCTAGGGAAATGATTATTTCTCGAATCTGACATCAAATTCGTTCTTTATGGGTCTGAATTAGTGTCTATGAATTTTTTGGGAATTTTAGGTCAATCAGGAAAAAATTTTTTTTCGACCAGTATAAGCCTACTGCATCGCGTGAACCGCTGATTTTGAAAATCTAGGAAAACGATTATTTCTCGAATCTGACATCAAATTCGTTCTTTATGGGTCTGAATTAGTGTCTATGAATTTTTTGGGAATTTTAGGTCAATCAGGAAAAAATTTTTTTTCGACCAGTATAAGCCTACTGCATCGCGTGAACCGCTGATTTTGAAAATCTAGGGAAATGATTATTTCTCGAATCTGACATCAAATTCGTTCTTTATGGGTCTGAATTAGTGTCTATGAATTTTTTGGGAATTTTAGGTCAATCAGGAAAAAAATTTTTTTCGACCAGTATAAGCCTACTGCATCGCGTGAACCGCTGATTTTGAAAATCTAGGGAAATGATTATTTCTCGAATCTGACATCAAATTCGTTCTTTATGGGTCTGAATTAGTGTCTATGAATTTTTTGGGAATTTTAGGTCAATCAGGAAAAAATTTTTTTTCGACCAGTATAAGCCTACTGCATCGCGTGAACCGCTGATTTTGAAAATCTAGGGAAACGATTATTTCTCGAATCTGACATCAAATTCGTTCTTTATGGGTCTGAATTAGTGTCTATGAATTTTTTGGGAATTTTAGGTCAATCAGGAAAAAAAATTTTTTCGACCAGTATAAGCCTACTGCATCGCGTGAACCGCTGATTTTGAAAATCTGGGGTAATGATTATTTCTCGAATCTGACATCAAATTCGTTCTTTATGGGTCTGAATTAGTGTCTATGAATTTTTTGGGAATTTTAGGTCAATCAGGAAAAAAAATTTTTTCGACCAGTATAAGCCTACTGCATCGCGTGAACCGCTGATTTTGAAAATCTAGGAAAATGATTATTTCTCGAATCTGACATCAAACTCGTTCTTTATGGGTCTGAATGAGTGTCTATGAATTTTTTGGGAATTTTAGGTCAATCAGGAAAAAAATTTTTTTCGACCAGTATAAGCCTACTGCATCGCGTGAACCGCTGAT